ACATTGACGTCAGAAGGACATTTGATGCAGCTGAGATCAGAATAATTGAGACTGTGAGGCCTGTATATTCGTGCATCTAAGCCCATTAAATATGCGAAAAATGACGTCAAATCCCACTGTACTAACCAATTTGAATGTAGGCGTGAACGCACATACATATCGAGGACTCACAGATCTCTGGAAGTAAGACCTGTCTTCACAGCGTATTCCTAAATGGCTTCAGAAGCAAGTAGAATCGCCAGAACCCATTCATGGTGAGAACAGGTGACCTAGCTCGTCTATTGATAAACACTATTATAGAGACAGGATATAAAATTGATGTTTACACGTCTTTTGAACACATGCATAGAAGGTGTTTGTGGAAGCCTTGACAATTGAGAAGTTTACACCACATTTATGCCTTCAAAAACAGTTCGTCATTACACTAAACCTACCTTCCTTGGTTAACTTTGGTTTGATACTAGCCAGAGTAGATGTACTATTACCTCTGTTATTTCGTTTAGTGACCTTCATTGTAATTTCACCTTCAATGTGTCCTTTTAACTTGATCTAAGTCAATTTCCCCACCCCTTAACTCTTTCTTCTTCTTCTTCTTCTTCTTCTTCTTCTTATTTTCATATGGGTATATTCCCATGACAAGTCCATGTGTGTGATCAGATTGTTCGAAATGTGTTCCACAAATACACACTGAACACGATTCAGACAAATTACATCTTCTCATTGCTCTGTCTAGCTGAATTCAAAAAGACGACTAATTATTTCAAATTCGTATAAAACTCAGCGACACTGAAGTGAACAATCCTAACGAATGAGACTGAAAAAGGGGAATACAGGAGATCTAGTAACGAACATTTTCATTGGAGAATGGAAACACGCCCAATGCATGTATTTGTAACCACATTAAATGTCCTCTTGGTCAGTGGATATCTTACTATTCTGATCGCTTGTCAATTTGACGAAGGTTAAGTCTTGAGACAGACGAACAGTTGTCCAGTGAGATTACTTCATCACCACAACGTAAACCTAATCTAGTTTTGAGCAATCAACACTTCTATCTCTTCAACCATAGACTGAAAAGTTTCTTTTCAATTCTGACCGACTGTTTCCTATCAATCTGCTTCTCTATTCTACGGATAAATCTCGTCAGTAGAACACACACACACACACCACAAGATGACATCGAGTCTAAATGTTTAGTGAAGTGGATTGGCTTTTTCCTTTCTAAACACTGGTGTACTTCACCACTGGGAAAAATCATTGCACTGGCCATAGTGGATGCCCTGTTTGTCTTCTCATCCATGAAAATGCAGAGGAGACACGAGAAGACGCTGGACAATTTTTACAAGCCTGCTGGTATACAGGTGGATCGCCAATCAACACACAGACACACACACACACACCGACATAGACAAGACTTACCAATCCATAAGAAGGAAATCACACGAATCAACGGTCATCTTGCAAGTCAACGAAACAATCAATACCAAGCAATACAAGTGAAGTAGACGGTGAGGAAACACACAGAAAGCAACCAATATCACTCCAGGTGTCCAGGACAGATGACTCATAAACTCGTGGAGAAATTGTAAACATCACCTCACATTGAAGTGTGCTCTGAGGATGTTGTGTGGTGAGGTAGGTAACGAAAGCTTCTCAACTGAACCATCGAACTCAGGGAACACAACTGCACCAAAATCATCCATCCATCTCTGCTACAAATCTTATCCATCATACTTTCTTCTCTTCACTTCCACATTACATTCTCACATAGCTAATTCTCCTTCTTCATTTTCTAACTCAAATGTCAGCGCCACTCCGTCCAATATTGAGTTGTTAAGTGTGAATTAACTAGAGATATGTTGTGTTATTAACAGCGTGGATACCGTGTAACTTTTACTTTTCCGCCATACCTTTCGAGTAGGATTATCTATTTTCATGCAGATATCGGGTCATAGGAAATTTGCAGATTTCAGGATTATCGACCTCAAGAAGGTTATTAGCTTACAGGGAAATTCAATACTAACACAGTTCAGTCACATAATAGGTCGGAATTCACATATATAAAAGGTGACATAGTCAGATGGGAGGCGAATTCGATCACTGAATCCTTATTCTCCAAATTCACACAGATCACTTGTCACACGAAATAAGCTGAACCAATAACAGAGATATCGGCTATAATACCGGAAATAAAATCAGAGGATAAGAGATAATAGAAGTATAGAAACAACATCCGATGTTATGTCAGCACCTTGACAGGATTATGACTAATAAATTGCAGTCGACATGTCATCCAGATATAATACTGTATTACTCATTGTGTGGATTTCATCAAATATAACTACTATGTGATGACGGAAATGATTTCGTGCCTATTCTCCGCTAAACAGAAGAAGTCGGCCTATTTCTAATCCACCTGATTGCTCCTATTACAGGTGAACACGAAACATGTTGATGAGTGAGGAAGCAGTCGACTAAAGATGAGCATCCCATAAGCTCACTGAATCAAATCAACTCGAAGTAAATCAAAGTCATTTCTCTTCGCCTGATGTCACCACCTCTCACTCGATAAATGCAAACACCACAACACTCACAAACATATTCCCATCGAGTTTGCAGACTGACTGTACACAGTCAGACATCCACATGCCACTACTCGTCAACGCTTCATACTCCTCAGTCTACTAGGATATTCCAAACAATACAAAAACATCGACAACAACTGTCTGACTGATTGGCTGGCTGACTGACTAGCTGTACAAATATTCTCCTCCCAAAACTACACGTCAGCATTCGAGACGTAGACCAGAGGATTGACTCACTAGAGATGTGAAGAGACAAAGCGGGCAGAGGAAATACTTCTCACTAGTCTAAACCGTCGACTCACATCTACATAAACCCACATAAATGCCGTGATGATGGGATTCACCAGAATCAGAAACACTCCGTTTCATAAAGACCAATTGTGGACACAACAAATTCGCCCTACCACATTCTCTCGCGGAATAAACATGTAGCAGAAGCCATCAACAGTTACTTACATACTATACTAGACCACCTGGTCCAACACACACCAGAAAACGAGCATTGAACAATCTTCTCCTATCATGCCAAATGCCTCTAGATACTGAACACTAGAAGCAGCAGAGGTTGTTGCAATTCGCTTAAACCAACCACTGATCATCGATCTGTGTGAGAAAGGAACAAGTTCAGTCAATATTGTAGACCTGGTCTTGTGTGCAATCAACAAATTCATAATTACTCCATTCAGCCATGACATTCACGCATGATCTGCCTTGCTCTTTCACTAAATTCACCACACCACACTACACCACATCACATCACATCACATCATCCTTCATTTTTACGCCTCTACGAACAAACATTTCGTCTTCCCAATTTATCAATCAATCAATTAATGCACTTACAGAATGCAGTACACACACACACATACACGCACAATCCTCCACCTCCTCGTCTCTACATTCTCTGCATATTTTCATTATTCATCTCAAGTTTACAATCAGCATGAATACAATTCAAATCGAACACAAGTCATGAAGGTTCAGACGCAGAATAAGAAAAGTAGTCAACTATGCTCTCCACACACCAATCAAATCATCCATCCGTCTAACTGACTGAATAAATATGACCAGGAATTATTAACTACACAAACGATTCGATGCATCATGACCCTACCCTCATCATCATGACACTATAACACCTAGTTGAACATGATCCTATCACCTCGATTGTCAGTGAACATGAACCTCTTAAATCATTCTCCACCAACATCTCATCAAAATACATTGACCTCCGTATATTCAGCCTCAAACCCATCATCCATCACATATTCACATTCACATTCATATAGCCACACGAGAAAACACCAGATGTCTAACCAAACTATCATTTGATAAATCAAAGCTTACTAAACAAACTGACTAACTAACACAGACTCTATCCAGAGTCTTGCTATTTCAACACACTTCAACATGAACATTTCACCCACTACTCACTTGTTTACGCTGAATATCATGAGTTCATCAGGCCAATTTCTCTAACACAGGATACACGCATCGATGCATGGATGGTTAGTTAACCAACGTGTCTCTTCTCCTCATCACAATCCATTTCCATTCGATCAATGCAACAACAAAAACAACAACAACAACAGCAACTGTACGATTAATCTCACCTAAACACATTTTATCAATCATCGAAATCACAAAACAAACACAAATCCATCACCTGTACTCCCCACCCCACCCCCCACACACACACACACACTTATTCACACCTTTATATATACAAAGTTAGTTGAACAGTAATCTCAGAGATAATTGTCATTTAGTCACGGACTAAGTCACAGTGAAGTCAGAGAAGTAACAATCCATGAAAAAAATCCACGAATAATCTCAGTCAATAGAGAAAGTTGACGAATTACGGCAACAGTAAGCAATAGACACCAAAGTTAAATCACCTTGATTTGACTAATCAGATAGCTCAGCATTACAAATGCTTCCTAGTCATAATCCTCTTTGAAAGTGTCGCCTACATTTGCTTTTTCACTTCTCTGTAGATAATGTGTTGTTGACAGGGTGGAATAAAACATGCATGTGTGGAGGGATAATAACTCTGGAAAAGTATTCACGGGCTGGCTATTGACGGTTACACATTCAGATGCAACCACTTTATATGAGGAAGTCTGTATAACTTGGTAAGTCGTACATAACTGATGATCTTTTAGACACTTTCTTTTCAAAATCAAAGCTCTCCCTTAGTAATATATTGCGTAGATGCAATCAGTATCTGCTCCAGCTGCAGAAATAGACAATACATTCGTTTGATATGTCTATAACCACTTCTATGACAATCTGGGACCAGTCAAGAGAAGTGACCAACGAGGACCACCACAACACAGCACAGCACACTATATCACGTCACATCACATGACAGAACATGTAGGACAAATTAACATAACAAATATCATTACTCACCTATAACACCGGTCACTTGAATCAACATTCCCCACTCCATCATCACCAACTCCATTCACATCCATCTCCTCACAACTCTCATCATCACTTGACAACGACAAATCAATAGTCTCACTCACGCCAGAACCAACTCCTCCAACACACGATTCACCAACTCCCACATCGCCAACACGACAACCCTTCACCTCACCAACACCATTCGAAACACTCACAGATTCATTCACTCCACTGTGTGCTCGAACTCCATTACTCAACTCGTCGCTCCTATTCGTACGATTCACAGTCTTCTCCACTGAGTCGTATGGAACACACAAATTCTGGGGGATAAGAGCTATTGAGTAGGCGTTCAAGATTCTCAGACCCATCGTGTTTGAAGGATTCGTGTCAGTGGAGACCGTAGAAGGCGTTGAATTGATGTGGGGTCTCTGTGACATCCAAACACATGGTGAGGGAGTCAGTAACGGCAGACTCAATTGACGAACACTCGAGTCAACATTACCTACCTTCATTCAATAGGATTAACATGTTGTTATGGAATGTGAACATACCGAAGTGCACTGGCCACTGACATGGGAATCTCCATTACCACTGACCACCACGTGATGAATAGAGGTGGATTCAGAAGACTTCGGAATATCGGGACACACTGGGGCCAGTCTGTCTGTCATGGTGAGATTCAGCTTTCTCAGAATTTTCTCTCCCTTATAACGGAGTCGAGTCCAGTGTCGTCTCGGATATCCTTTCGAGTGCAGATATTCTGAGAATCGCACCCACATGTTTTTCTTCATCAGCAGTGATCGCGGACTTCTTTCTCTGTCCGTCAACATATTCTTGTATTTGATTAGTAGTTGTGTGAATTCTTTCACCTCGTTCTTTTTGTATGTCATCGGTGGTGTGATTGGCTTTGCTTGTTCTTTGACTGCTTCATCATTCTGTGTCGCAGATGTATCGGCCATAATAAATAATAATAATAGTAATAATAATAATAGTAGTAGTAATAATTATAATAACCGAGAGGTTTTGCAGATATTCCGTAATTTGTTTCAGTATGTCGTTATGTTATTCTCGGTTAGTGTATTTCTCTGGTATATTTCTGCGTGTTTTTGTATATATGTTGATATTATATAGAGACAGTGTCTAACTTATTATCATAGGTGTATGTATATGGAAGGGTTGTCATTGGATGTTCCAGTGGTTTTCGTCACAAGGTCATACACGAGTGTTGGCTAGACATGTTGGCCTTGTTTTCTGGTGATTGAGGTCACAGGATTTTGGAACCAGGCATGCTCATTGGTTGTTGTTTGTTGCAGCCTGTGATTTGTTTTGTTTTCCATTTCAATGTAGAAATTACTGTTGAATAATCGGCCTGTTGTTTGTTTTCGTGCATGCATGCAAGCGGTTATGACCACTTCTCTCATTCTCTCTGTGTCTCTTTGTCTAGCTGTGGGCGTGTTCGTGTGTGTGTGCGTGTTTCTATGGTCTACATCAGATTTTCAATCCTTTTCATTCATTCAGTCATTCACTCATTGATTTATTCATGTCTACTTCATGATTGGTGGAAAACGAGATGTTGAAGTTTTCATGATGCCCGTAAAAAGTTTGAGCATTGTGGATTAGATCAAATAAAGTATAATTATATTTCAATAGTTTACACACAATGATAATAATAATAATAATAATAATAATAATGATTTACTTTATTCTGAAAACAGTACTTGTGATACAGAATGGAATTTTCAGCATTATTCACAATATTGCATCTAATTTCCTCAAATTATAAATAAAATTAATCACATAGAAAATTTTCCACATTTACAATAGGGTTAATATAAAAAAATAAAAGACATGCAGCATATAAAATGGAAATAATAATAATGATAATAATACAAGTGAAAATTTCCATGGGCTTGTTTCACACAGTATTGTCAATGCGGTATACAAATCCTTGCATGATTAAAAACATTGAATATAATGTTCTCTTTACATGATATGGTGAGGGAAAAAACAAAGATTACAGCAGTCATAGAGATAAGTTGGTGTTTGCAGTTATGAAAGTAAAAACAAAGAAGCAACAGGACCATAAATATAATAGAAATAATAAAAGTGAAACTTGAAGGCATATAAGGATGGATGGAGGAGATTGTTTATTTACTAGATGAAAAAAAGTTAGTCAATTCTTGCCTGACGCTATTTTCATCACATAAAATACGGGCCAAGTATGGTATGATAGAATTTTTATACTTAGATGTGCGAGCATACAGTTTTCTGATGTCACTTCTTGTTCTACTTGAGGAGATGCAAGGTGAAAGCTGAGGGTGCTGTGGTGCGTGCTCCAAGTCAGACAAAATCCCTTTAGCAAATTTACTGCACGAAGTCAAATGCCTATCGACAACGACGTTAACTATGTAGTCCACTGGGACACCACTCATCCTACTGACAGTCTTCAGCATTCTACGAATTGTGACAAAGTCCTTTTTAAGCAAACCAGGAAGGAATAAGCAGGGGTGAACAATAAAGAAGAATAGGTAGGATGCAAGAGTTTATGAACTGTAAGAGGAGGGGTTGAGTTATACCCGAGTGCCTTAACTTCTTAATGTAAAATGTCAGGCGGAATATTTTACTGGAGATCGCTGAGACATGGGAAGACCAGGAGAGATCGGAAGAGACAATAAGTCCAAGATACTTAATTTCAGTTTTAATTCCTATATCATTGTCATCAATCTTACAACTGTCATGAGAATCGACGGCTTCTTTTAACTGTCGTTTACATCTTAAGCTGAAATTAACAGTTTGACATTTAGAAGGATTCAGTTTAAGACCGTTAGACTCACACCATTTACTGACTTCCGACAGAAAGCTATTTATTTTGGTACAATCTAGCTGGGAGTTAACAGCCATTGAAACAGCTAAATCATCAGCGTACTTCACAAAGTTTATTTCATCAGACTGAGGCAAGTCATGTAAGAAGAAAGAAAAAAGAAAAGGAGAATGGACAGCGCCTTGAGGGACACCAGCTTCAGTAGGTAATGAAGTCGAAGACTTCCCTTTATATACGGTGTACTGCTTTCTTTCTGAGAAATAAGAATGTAACCAGTTAGCAGCCCAACATTCTGTTTGACTTACAGCAAGTTTATTTAACAAGATGTCCCTAGGGACCGAGTCAAAAGCAGATGTATAGTCTAGGAAGGCACAACGAACAAATTTAGCCCCTTTGTCTAGACTGGAAGCAATGTTATGATATAAGACGGCGGCTGCATCTAAAGTGCTTCTACTGTGCTTACAGGCAAACTGTTTTGGGTCATTAAAGGATTTAAGAGAGGGTACAAGACTAAGTAAAAGTAGTTTCTGCATAGTTTTCAAAAAAGGAGAGGTAATAGCAATGGGTCTATATATATAAAAACACCACCAACAACAACTGTCTGACTGACTGACTCACTGACTCACTGACTGACTGACTGACTGACTGACTGACTGATTGACTGACTGACTGACTGACTCACTGACTGACTGACTGACTGACTGACTGACTGACTCACTGACTGACTCACTGACTCACTGACTCACTGACTGACTGACTGACTGACTGACTGACTGACTGACTGACTGACTGACTGACTGACTGACTGACTGACTCACTCACTGACTCACTGACTCACTGACTGACTCACTGACTCACTGACTCACTGACTGACTGACTGACTGACTGACTGACTGACTGACTGACTGACTGACTGACTGACTGACTGACTGACTGACTGACTGACTGACTGACTGACTGACTGACTGACTGACTGACTGACTGACTGACTGACTGACTGACTGACTGACTGACTGACTGACTGACTGTACTAGTACTCTTCTCACAAAACTACACGTCAGTCAAAACAGCTTCGTATATTATTGATTGAATAACAAAATGAGTGATTATTATTACAAAAGCAATCGACACCAAAGTTAAATCACCTTGATTTGACTAATCAGATAGCTCAGCATTACAAATGCTTCCTAGTCATAATCCTCTTTGAAAGTGTCGCCTACATTTGCTTTTTCACTTCTCTGTAGATAATGTGTTGTTGACAGGGTGGAAAAAAACATGCATGTGTGGAGGGATAATAACTCTGGAAAAGTATTCACGGGCTGGCTATTCACGGTTATACGGTTATTCAGATGCAACCACTTTATATGAGGAAGTCTGTATAACTTGGTAAGTCGTACATAACTGGTGATCTTTTAGACACTTTCTTCTCAAAATCAAAGCTCTCCCTTAGTAATATATTGCGTAGATGCAATCAGTATCTGCTCCAGCTGCAGAAATAGACAATACATTCGTTTGATATGTCTATAACCACTTCTATGACAATCTGGGACCAGTCAAGAGAAGTGACCAACGAGGACCACCACAACACAGCACAGCACACTATATCACGTCACATCACATGACAGAACATGTAGGACAAATTAACATAACAAATATCATTACTCACCTATAACACCGGTCACTTGAATCAACATTCCCCACTCCATCATCACCAACTCCATTCACATCCATCTCCTCACAACTCTCATCATCACTTGACAACGACAAATCAATAGTCTCACTCACGCCAGAACCAACTCCTCCAACACACGATTCACCAACTCCCACATCGCCAACACGACAACCCTTCACCTCACCAACACCATTCGAAACACTCACAGATTCATTCACTCCACTGTGTGCTCGAACTCCATTACTCAACTCGTCGCTCCTATTCGTACGATTCACAGTCTTCTCCACTGAGTCGTATGGAACACACAAATTCTGGGGGATAAGAGCTATTGAGTAGGCGTTCAAGATTCTCAGACCCATCGTGTTTGAAGGATTCGTGTCAGTGGAGACCGTAGAAGGCGTTGAATTGATGTGGGGTCTCTGTGATATCCGAACACATGGTGAGGGAGTCAGTAACGGCAGCCGCAACTGACGAACACTCGAGTCAACATTACCTACCTTCATTCAATAGGATTAACATGTTGTTATGGAATGTGAACATACCCAACTGCACTCACCACCCAAATGGTCATCCCTGTTATCACTGACCACCGGGTGAACAGGAGCAATTTCTGAACACCTCAGATTCTCCTGATTTTCTGTGTTCACTCTGTCTGGTGTCTTGAGAATCAGCCTTTTCAGTATTTCTCGGCCCTTTCGACGGACTTCAGTCCACGTTCGTCTGGGATATCCATTTGAGTGAAGGCGTTGTGAAATTTTGATCCACGCGTATTCAGGCATAAGCTGATTCTTGTGTTCCACTACTAATTCCGTCAATAATTTCATCTCATCATCTGTGTATCTCGTCGGCGTGATTAACTTCGCTTGTTGTCTGATTAGTTCAGATTGTGTCGGACGTGCAGTGGCCATTTTAAGGAATAATCCAGTGATTGATTGATTGATTGATTGATTGAGTGAGTGAGTGAGTGATTTTCACACATATCAATCCCGTATTACGATTTAATACTTCCCGCTGTCGGTTAGTTTATTAGTTAGTTAGTTCTACTGGGT